GGGGGGTGAATCCGTTGTAAGCCGCTGAGACTGAGGAGGAAGAGGAGGAGGAAGACGCGCAGGAGGAGGAGGAGCGCTCCGTCAGTCCGTCGGTAAACAGCAGCGGTCGGTGACGGACTCAGACGGTCGGTGAGTCGATAAAGAGGCTTCTTCATGCCGGGGTAAGAACACCAAACACACCTTCATCAGCTCCATCACTGCAGCTCTGCTCCATCTTCATCATCATCGCCACCAGCATCGCCGGGACCGGTACCACGCGCGTGCGTGTGTGGGTCCGTTTGATCGCTGTGATACCTCGAGATGTTTGAGGATGATGATGATGAAGCTATAGAAACATCGTTTATCTTCATCTTGGTGCACGCGCACGTGTGTTGCGATGGGACACGCGCGTGCACGTATCTCATGCGTGTGTAAATATAGATCCGCGTGCGTCACAGCAGCGCAGTGACGTAGAAACCGAGAGATCCGCATTCCTCCACAGCTCACCTTCATCATCATCATCGTCGTTGTCGTCATGAGTCGGAGGTTCCACCTGTGTGCCAGGTGACCGTGGGGACACGTGACGTAATCAGTAATCTATCAGTGATCAGGGATCGATCTCTAATAATGTCCGTTAGTGCTACACGGTGCTGCAGCAGAAACACTACCTCACACACAGACACACACATACTTGTTTTCATATGTTAGTGAGGACATCATTGACGTAATACTTTCGCTAGCTGCCGGTGACCCTGACACGAAAACCCTCAGAAATGTCTTCAAACTTTGTCTCCATAAGTGACTGATGGTCCCCACAAGTATAGTAGCATGCCAGTTTTTGGTCCCATAACGATATGTAAACATTGTAAAAATGCACACACACAGACACACACAAATCACAGCCCGTTTTTGTGTTTTATTTCCTTCAGACTCAGCTTGTCATCTCAATATTTTTGTCTTATTGCTTCATGAAACAGTTACATGTAACTGCTGCACACACGTTGGTCTATCCGACCTTCATCAGGTCACAGGCATATATGCAGTACACATGCTGTCACTTGGTGTTCTCTCTGCAGTAGAGTATCACTTCCTGTTCCAACACAGTGGTGTTTTTCTGTAGTATATCTGTGTAGCAATTTAATACAAAACTTACAGTAACTTCTTATTTCATAATCTTCATGTGCGTCCTCTGAAACACACTCTTGGTGTATTTACTCATTAATTTGTATTCAGCGTTGGGAAGGTTACTTTTAAAATGTATTCCA